CACACACACACACACACACACACACACACACAGATATAGCTCCTCTTTAAGTGACTTTGTACCTCAGGCTATAAAAAGGAAACGGAAATAAAGCAAAGCAAACAGAAACAAAAAGGATCATATTCTAAGTGTTATCATACGGATGATCTGCTCTGCTCCCAGGTTCTGACATGGCAGCAAGAGTTGGCTGGTTTGTGGCCACAGCCAACCAGAGGCACCCCTGTTCCTGGAGTGCCAGGGTCTATGGTCTCTCAACATATCCCTGGGTGATATTCCCTGATCTCACTGCTGGTCTCAAAGCTACAGGTCACGGCCTCCCCAGTCACACCCCTTATGCTCCGGAGCCCAAGGTGACAGCGGAAGCGCTGAGCAGCCGGGATATTATTCTGTGTCGTGGTGGCCATGATGGCAGGTGTGAGAAGGCTGGGTCTGCGGTGTATTTAGGACAGAACTGCTCAAGGGAGGCGCCGGGGTTTTTGCTGTATTTTTGAAGTTCTATATTAAGAGTCGGGCGACCCACAAGGCCAGCGGAAGTCCGACACCAGCTCTGAGTCGACAGAAAGATGAAGAAGCAGTGCAGCCGCAGCAGTGACAGGAAGAAAAGCAGGATTAATCAGAGCAGCCTCCTTTGGTCAGCGTGAATCATCACAAGCCTGTACTGTACTGAACTGGATGGATGGATGGATGGGTGGGTAGATGGATAGATACTTCGTGTCTTTGTCTATGCAGGGACTCACCTGCTTTGCACAACAATGCAGTCTTGGTAAAGACGATCATACATGCAGATCTTCAGGTCAACATTGGGCTCAGTGACCCACACAGGAAGACCCATTGCCACACCGCGGGCGCAGATGGAGATCTGTCCAAAAAACATCTCAAGGTTTCACTGCACTCCACTGCAGGCAAGGCGGCAGAGATTTGACAAAGAAACTCAGACTTACCGGTGGGGAGCTGGGATCAGAAAAGCTGATGTCAAAATCCATCTCTGCCTCCCCAGGAAGGGTTGGAGTGAAAAGGATGTCCAGTCTGGCGCATCCAAAAGGGCCAATGTCCCCCTCCGTCACCTGAAGGACAATGACGTTCTTCAAGACAAATCATGTTTGCCATCTTCATTTCACTGAGCAATTACTTACCTCAAACACTTAGCTGGTATATAACGATATATGCAATGCATGATACTTAATAAAACAGGCACAAATCAAGTAAAAGGCATTAGTCCAGGTTGCATTATGTTATTATTAAATTAAATATACTGTAAAGTTTCTATTATGTACTTAAATGTCATCCTGCAAGTTTAATGAGATTAAGCTTCATGGACAATGTGACTGAGACACTCAGAAGCCTTCGGAGGGGTCGGGAGGTGTGCAAAAGGCATGAAGAAAATGTCCCTGGCTCTGATGCCTTTGCCAGGCTCTGATGCCTTTGCCAGGCTCTGGCAGATGTAAGCTCCCTAGGTCTGACACTCAGGGCCAGATACACAGTATTGTCTCCACGTATGAAGTCTGGAGTAGCCAATGAGAGGAAAGGACAGGAGGTACAGTGAGTGGAAACGCGCAGCCTGACTGCAGCCCAACACGACAGGCAGCGTAGGGAGTGACTCCGAAGCGGCGCCTTGCTTGGCGTCCAAACGCTTTTACAGATGTGTCCTGCGGCCGCAGATGGCCGGCTTGGTTTGGGTTTGTGTCTGTTTAGAGCCCCGTTCGCTCGCATGGCACACCGTGGGCCCTGCAGAGTGCAAAGAAAGCGCCGGCTTGGCTGTGCACTCAGACAGCAGCCTTCAAGGCTTACTGTCGAGCTCCTGGACTGGAGAAGCCCAGCAATGACATCAGAAACAGCTACACTGAGAGGACGATGGGGAGCCAGCAGGAGAAAATAATAGATACTAATTTGTGCCGAAGGTCTGGTAGCAAAATAAGAAAACGAAACAAGTTTGGCCACTGGAAACGGGAAGCTTGCTGAGGTGGGGCTGCTCAAGGCCTCGTGTGCCGGTGTGCACTGCCCGGCATGGTGTGACGGCTCAGAAATCGACTCTCATCTATGAGCGAATAAATCAACAGCCAGCATGTGGCGACTGACGGGCCATGCTCGCCCGTGCGAGTGGGCGTGCGATCAGCGGGCTTGTTAGCTGAATCCATGCCGTGCTGATGTAAGGGCAGGCAGGCAGGGTCCTACCACCAAACATGGCTTAAAAAGGAAAATGTCACAGTAAAATCACACTAAGGTGGTTTATAAACACAGATTTCCCACACTGCTAACTATATTATAGCTTATTTTCTCAATGACTTATAGCTGTTAAGAGTATTAATGCCCCATGGCACCAGAACACACGACATCACTTCAGAAAGAAACGGAGCTGATTGGTGGCTCATGAAATTCAGAAATGCATCTAACACAGGGAAAACGTCACATTGGGTTTTCAGTGGGTGCCGTATTGAAAGAACAATATACAATCATATTCATGATGCCCCATAGCAAATCCAGGGCTGCCAACAAAGGTGGGCTGGCTGGAGTGAGATTTTCAATCTGAGACGAGTCTGCACACGCATTTACACGTATGTAACAGTTTCACTACCTTGCAAATAGACTGTAGGGTTTGCAAATTGCCCCAGTGATGTAGCTAATTTTAGGTTAATGATGAATTAATATAGATTTCTTAAGTGAGTCTGAAAATGTGAGTGTCACGCCAGATGTGTGAGAGTTGGCAACCCTGTTAAATCGCACTAACTTGTTAAGACGTTCGTGAATGGGATGGAGGGGTTTCTGAGGGGTTGCTCTGCTTTTGGTGTGTCCCCCCCCCGCCAGAACGTCATGTCCCTGGGCACATGCCATAGGGTTAATGTGGGGCAGTGTATAGCTGGTCATTTCAATGTACTGTGCTGTGAAAAACTTCTTTGCTTTTGCACATGTGATACTTATCTATTGACTAGAATTCACTCTGCCATCTGCTGAGGAAAGCAGGCCGCTCGTACCTTCCCAGCCCGGAACTCGCCACTCTGCAGACTGTCCTCCTGCTTGGATTCCAGTGGCTCGGCTTCCCCACCTTCCAGTAATGAGGCCTTTGGGTTGGGAGCTACAAGAGCGTGACGCCGTCACTGACAAACAATCATACCTACTGGCTGCCGTCCGGCCAGTGGAACGACCAATGGCGAGTCCCAGCTAAGAGAGGCATGTTTAACACCACCAGGCCGTGAGCCTAATGGCATGAGCCCAGGTATGAGGGATTGACTGGGGCTCCATATGGGACCTCCAGCTGACTGCTGGGAAATTTTCAAAAATAGATGTTAAGTTGAGTACAACCAGCGATGGGCAGACTGGTGGGGTCATATGCTTTTCAAAGTATATGGTTACATACATATTTTCAAATTTAATTATTTGTTATTTCTATTGCTATACTGGCAACCACTCCACATCCATGGTGGATAAGTGGTTATGGAAGATAGATGGGTGGATGGATGGATGATTTATTTAGTTTCCACGTGATTTTCTTTTACCAGTCTGATCCCCAGTTACTGCACATGTGTCCCTGCTCTCCTCCTGTCCTTTGGCTCCTCCCAGGTCCTGATGTGTCGGCCTCTCAGCCTCCAAACTAAGGTTCCCAGTCTCTTGACCTCCGACACAGACCTGCAGAGGGAGCCATGAGCTTGTTGTGACTTCCTGTGTTATGGTACGTGTCACACGTGCAGTGCACGGGGCCGTGATGGTGCTAAGCACATTGAGTGGTGTGGCCTCCTGCCATGTGACATCTAGCTGCTTCACGCAGTAGACAGCAGCTGCAAGGGATTCACGTGGATATCGGTACCACACAATAATCGAAGAAAACAGAAGAGAATGATGGTTGACTTTATTGAATTTTGAATCTCACCTGTTTGTCTAGGGTGGATGGGATTGGCTGGGGGTCAGCGGACGGGGCCAAGACGAAGCCCGTGCCCAGGGCTCCCTGGTTGGTCAGGGTTATAGTGCGTGAAAGTGTCTCCCCCACCACGTGGGAGCCGAAGTCAAGGAAGGTGTGGTCCACTGCCAGCTGGGAGAGACGGAGGATGGAAGATGGAGGACAGAGGATGGAGGATGGAAGACAGAGGAAGAAGGATGGAGAACAGAGGATGGAAGACAGAGGAAGAAGGATGGAGGACAGAGGATGGAAGACAGAGGAAGAAGGATGGAGGACAGAGGATGGAAGACAGAGGAAGAAGGATGGAGGACATGCTGAGAAACATAACAGGGATAAAGAGAAGCAGATGGTTTGGGCAGCACCACTAGGTGCCTTCTTATGGAAAAATGAACAATGGAACCTGTCAGTACAAAACATCACTAACCTACATCACCCCCAGGAATAGTAAACAAAAGAACTGTGTTGCTGAATGTCATTATAAACATACAGTCTGAGGGCATTGAAGAGCTGACAGGCAACTGACAACCTCCTGCTTAGGATTCAGCAGCTATTCAGCAAACTCATGCACACCTGATCTGCCTGGTAACATGGTATTTTTTGAAAATGTTTAATTATTCAAAATAATGAATCAAACTACACCAGTATTCCAGATAAATCTGTAAATGGCTGTATAGCAAACTTCATTGTGAAGGTACTACAGCTTACAAGCCAATGAAAAATGATATTTTCATGGTAAAGCTCCAAATACTTAAAAAAAACTAACTGAAACTGGCAAAGAAATGAAATTGTGTAAAATATAAATGTATTCAAAGATATAAATATTTAGTATACAGCGATAATTCTTGGTTCTGTAAATAAGTACATTTTGGGTTATGTTAAAGCTAATATACTAATGAGGTAAAATCAAACTGACGGTGAGTGACCATGAAAACACTCATTTTAAAAGACACAAATCAAAATTCCTGGCTGCTGTAAATTTCTTGGTATTGTTCACTTTTATTCATTTACTCACAACACACTTCTTGGTTGTACATTTAAGAGGCACAGTGAAAATTCCAGCAGCAGACACAAACTGTATCTCCCCATCCAAATCTTCATTTATCTGAAAGGAAATTAAAGAATAAAACAAAGGTTCCCATTTAGTAGAAACGTCCTGTTATGTTAGAGTGTTTATGCATGTAGCTCTTGCATGCCTACACTGATGAATCTACTGGCTCTTCGGAGTCTGCCTCTTTAGAAGAGGGCACTGAGGGTTTGCTGTGAGTGCAGTTCATCTTAATGTGCTCTTCAGCTTGCTCTACAAAGTTTGAAATCTATCACATCAGTGACCCGAATTAGCTTTTTAATATCATTATCTATTATCTATGACAAAGATATGCAGCCTTATTTTATTAATATCATGGGCATACAGCACCTGTCATGCTATTACAATAAAACTGAAAGAAGATCGTTTTATATTAATGACAGATTCTATGAAAACTGACTTCTCACTCAGTAAGATGAAAAACCTGGTAGTTGCTCTGCAAACTCTTCATAGTAAAACCACAATGTGTCTACAACCGTTTGCAGTGGGTCTGTGCACGAGATGGACAGCAGAAGCTCACCATGGGTTTGAAGACAGTCAGAAAATCACAGGCCATCCCTGGGGACAATTGACCAGGCGGCTCAAAGCTGCAGTGGGGAGGATGGGCAGCGATTTGGACAAGAATGAAGAAGTTCCATCAAGCACAGTTACAGACACAAATGAAAATGTGTTCCTTTAAATGGCTAACTTTGCTTATAAGTATTCATGATACAGTTCCAGCCATGTTAAATGTTTCTGATTTTGAAATCGCAGTCTAAAGGGTTACAGTTTAAAATGAAGCCCATATGTGCTGTTACAAAACCATACAGTTTAGATTCGATTCCATACAGCCAACTGTTCTCATGGGAGAGACTGCTGTTAGGTAATCTAATTCTTCCTGAATAACTGTAAACAATTCAGATACAGTGTGGGCTCAGATGTCAATATATCACGGCTTCTGCGGAGTCAAGCTCGTTTTGTAAAACTGTTTTCTTTAGGCAGCAAACATGCAGTCCCAGATGACTTGGTCTTCAGATACTAAGCGATAAGAGTCATGGGTCTTGGGCTATTCAGTGAACTCCGAAACACAGAGAAGTGACTGAGAAATCGATAAAACAGCGTAGGAAGGCAATATATATATATAAAAAATGTATATATAAAAGGACAACGGAGTGGGAAAGGCAAAACCCAGAGCATAATCATGCCAAAACAATAGTTCTATAAAATAATTGCACTTTTTAATGTTTCCATAGGCAGGGTTTCGCTGAATATTAAAAATCGCCATTCCTGCTTTGAAGCTAGATTAACACAGTGCTTTTGCTTTATTAAACCATCATGTTTCAGCTTGAGCAAATGACTTTACTCATGACGCTCTCTGGGTCTATGAGACATCTGAGTCCTTCTGAGTTGCGATGGGCTCTGTGCTTCGGAAAATGCCACGGATGGAGGCTGAACAGTTTAAATCTCATCTGAACAGAACTGCAGCTGTGCTTTACCTACTTACAGCGTGTTTGCTCTTTTTTTCATCCATCCATACACATTTAATTTCCAAAAATGGTTGTGTTGATCTCAGGCTTATCCATGGAACCACATACCACAAGGCGAGTTTCAAACGAAGGGTAAATTAGACTCATGGAACCAATTGAAATGCACGTCTTTCAACTGTGGGGTAAAACAGCAGCACTCAGGAAAGGAAGCCCACGCAAATACATGAAGAATGTGGGTAATCTGCATAAATGGAATACAGACTGGCAGTCCTGGGGGTGGCGGGAGAACACACAGCCCATTGAGATATCATAATACCCTTCCCAGCCCTCTTAATGTTATCTAACCAAGAGTTCCTGCTGATATTTATGTTGCCATCCAATGTCTGGTTGTAAGAATCCATCCCTTGATCTTCCAACTGCTTATTCTTAGCAGGGTTGCTGGGCTCCTGGAGACTATCGCATGCAACACTGGGCACAAAGTGGGGTCCCCTGATCACAGATCACTTGCATGCACATACTCAGTCATACTCTAGGAATAATTCCGAGATGCCAGGTAGTCTACCGTAGTATCCTGAAGAAACCTACACAACATGAGGAGAACAGGTAAACTTAACACCCCTGCACATATTATGCAAATAGTATATGGAAAAAAATATTTGTGAAAAGGAACAAAAGTGACGCAGAGAATGTGGATTTAACGGCAAAGTGCAGGGCGCTTCTGTGTCTCGGGCAGAGGAAACACCGCCACCCTAACATCAATTTACACAATAAACTTCTAGCTATAAAAGCGGTCCGACTGTAAGCCATGTAAGTCATTGTCAAGCAGGCCTTCTGTCGAACCATCTGCAAAAAAAAAGGATCTCTCTAAGTATGACACGAAACCTACTCACTGTCACACTCCCGGCTAGCTGCTAAAGCTGCAGAGTGTAGCAGCAGTAAAACTGTCTGTGTAAGTGTTCATGCTCAATTTCATCTGCTGTGGTTCTCTGTGCAGATAATGTGGAAATAACATGCTAATGTGCCTATAAGAGTCTCTTCAGGTACATAGATGCACACATGCTTCCAGATGGAGCCCATAAGAAAAGCACAACACAAACACTGAAGTCATATGACTTTGTTTACGTAATCAACATAGCTACCACCACAAGCATAGCTAATTTTTAATTGCCTGAACCAGCTTCTTAATCATCTCTGCTGTTGCCATTTTAAGGTAATCTAAAAAATCCCTTTCGGTTTCTGTCTCTTTAAATGGGAGCTGGATGAGGACAATGTTGTTTGAAGTTGCAGGGGATAGGGGGATGCAATTTTCATTGTCAGTATAATTAGTGTAAAGCAAAAAAGCAAGAACATTAAACTGAAAATAAATTAAAATGCGGCTTGGTGTGTGTAACCAGATGGGGCTCTGCACAGTTACAAAATGAGACTGAGACTGGGAGATGATGGTCACTCTGCCAGACAGTACGATACTTTACTGGGGCAACTACCATAGCACAAAATGTATTTTTATATACATTTACTTTTTTATTTTTTGAACTTCGCTCCTATGTGTCGTTGTAAGTTGCATCGGTTGTTAGTTGGGACAGTCTGTAAATAAATAAATGATAATAAAATATGGTGGTGAAAAATGCTGAATCTGTACAGAGCAGTGTTTCCCAAACTGGTTCTGAAGAACCCCCAGATAGTCCTCAGCTGGGAGAGAGCAAAAACATGGACTGGGTGACAGGAAGCTGGGAGGGAGCAAAAACATGGACTGGGTGACAGGGAGCTGGGAGGGAGCAAAAACATGGACTGGGTGACAGGGACCTGGGAGGGAGCAAAAACATGGACTGGGTGACAGGGACCTGGGAGGGAGCAAAAACATGGACTGGGTGGGGGTCACCCGAGGACCGGGTAGGGAAGTACTGGTCCAGTGATCAGCATTGTGACGTCATGCCCCCGGCTCTGTATGTGTGCAGTTTGCGTTCTCTTCTCATGACTGCATGGGATTCCTCCAGGGTGCCCCCTGCCTCGTGCCCCGTGACGGACTGGCATCCCGTCCGGGGTGGCCCCTGCCTCGCGCCCCGTGATGGACTGGCATCCCGTCCGGGGTGGCCCCTGCCTCGTGACGGACTGGCATTCCGTCCGGGGTGCCCCCTGCCTCGTGACGGACTGGCATCCCGTCCGGGGTGCCCCCTGCCTCGTGACGGACTGGCATCCCATCCGGGGTGGCCCCTGCCTCGCGCCCC